AAAAACTACAAAAGTTATTAAGGGTCAAATTTCAAATTAAACTATTTTTTAAATAAAAAAGTCTTAAAAAGTAATATATGGATTTTAAAAGTTTTGACCTCAATCGATAGGAAATTTAGTTCCCTTTAATTTGATATGCATACTTTATGTATGCCTTGTTTAGTTTTCACAAAAATCTAATTAATGTACGCAGAAAGGAATTGCGCTTCCCTTCTGCGGCAACACAGAAAGGAAAATTCTACTTGGGGAGGATTATATTTATACCAAATTAAAGGGAATCAAATTTCCTATCAAATGAGATCAAAATTTTTAAAATCCATGCATTCGTTTTCAAAAACTGTCAGTTTGCTCTCAATTTCCCCTACTTTGCAAGTTTTTTGCGTACGCGAACGCAACTGTCACAAAGCAGAGAACCGAGTACGGGAACGCTTTCTGGTAAAAACCTGTAAATTCTTGCAACTTCTTGCGAGTTAGGGAACGCAACTATTATTTATCGCCTGTGAAAAGTTCGTACATAAGTGGTACATATGTAAAGGATAGAATTCTGTTCTTCAGAATAATTAAATGCGTCCATTATGTCTTTGCACTCTGATACTGGAATAGATGCACGATCGGAGAGTAACAACAAGACCGCAGAAGCGTAAGTTTAAGCAAAATTTCCAATAATCCCTCCATTCATATCTTCCACTCTTATTGCAGCACAATCAAAATCCCATTCGAGTCAGTACAGCGTGCAGTGATAGTTTATCGGGTATTAAGCGTTGATAAGGAACCGAGTCGTAATTTTGTCCAAAAGGAATTGCGTTTAGTGGGTGATGAAATTGAAGTACACTTTAAAGCTACTCATGTAAAAAACTTACGAACAGCAATCACATCCTTTTTCGGATCCCTCTTACTCTGTACGGACACAATCAAAGAATTTGCACCAAGTTCTGAAACTGCTAACACTAATGCCAGAGCACACACCTGCACCAACACCGCATAGAGCGGTGTACGGTTTCAGTTTTTATTTACTTTTCTTTACTCTATTTATTCTATATTTAATGTGGGCGCTTTTGCCAACTGAAAGTTGGGGTCTAAACTACCTGCCAGATAAATACTTCGCTGCATATTTACCAATACTGGTACTTATGGGTATGTTCGTTTTTGAATTCTTCGTATATCCGGGAATTTGTTTGGCTATGACACCCAACGTAGATGATGTGGAGTCTGTGATGGATACTGCTTTATTATTGCGACATGCCGAGGGTGATAAATCTGTAGATTCCAAGAATAATAGTGTATGGGCGCGTGTTAGATACATTAAACAAGCGACACCACGAAAAGAACGCGAAGTGCTTTCCAACTGTGACTTTTGCAATAGTACACATCGTCTACCAGCAGCACATGAACAGATATCTACATTGAGGTTTTTGGATTTACAGGATGTTAATAGTATTTTTGATTAGAGGCATCAAGAAATAAAGCTACAATTTATGTATGTACAGTATTTTGTTTCATTTATATGTATACCGGTTTAGAATTCATTAATTTCAATAAAATTTTCGTAGTGGCGACAAGTTTTACTTTCTTCTCGTGCGCACTGTTGTCCAACCAGGTTCAGGCTCTGCAAATTCTTGCTTTCTACGTGTTTGAGAGCGTGTTACGCGACTACAACTGGCAATATCGCTGTCTTCATCGTCAACATCCATATCAGCGTCAGAGTTTCCGCTACTGTCATCATCCTCTGAGGATGAGTTTTCTCCTGCAATTGGCGTATACACAATTTTCACATCGGGTCGTAGCCATTCCTTGCCTTGCGGTAGTTTGCTTAATTCACTTTCGATTTGTGCATATTCTCCACTGAAGCAGAGCGATTTATATCGGAGCAAATTCCTACAGATTTCTGGGAAGAAATTGATATAAGTTTATAGTTTACAAATATGTTATGTTCATAGTACTTCATACGTTTACCTGGTATGGAACCATCCTCACATATCGTGTCGAATTCTTGATCCAGCAGTTCCTCCACAACATCTTGTAGCTCACCTTGTGTTATGTTCTCATTACCAATGCAATACTTGTAAGTGTACTCCATGATTTCAATAGCTTGCTGGTATAAGAAAAATAAGGTAAGTATTATGCAAAGTGGTTGGTTGGGGTTGACTTCGCATTACCTGTTGCCCATTGCGACCGCCCATGCCATGCTCAACTGCTAATCGCAGATTTTGCCAGTTATTGAAGATTTTCTCTAAAACTAAGCGAAAGTTTTTCTGAAAATCTGTTTGAGCCATCCTGTCGGAGTTTATTGTTTTGATCAAAAAGACTTTGCGGCGAATGTCAAAGCAAAAGCCGTAATAAACACGTGAGAACAGTGGTGGTTGTATAGTGTTGCCGCTCCTAGTTTTTTTGGAACCAAAAATGTAGCAACCCAATAAACACTAAAAAAATATTTCTCCAACCTTGGAGAAATTCATAGTTCTCATGTTGATATCCAACATCCCACCAAACAATTTGTGTTGCCAGCAATAAGAAAACGTGTCGCCCTCGGAAACAAATTTATTGCCGGTAATATTGCCATCGAATCGATTTCCTATTACCGGTCGCTCTAAAACGTCCGCCGAAGGCAACTCGCCTGGGCGAGTCGTTTTCTTATTACCTGAATGAGTCCTTTTCTTATCGCTTCAGGCGATATTTGGAATAATTTTATTCTTTTTAATACTTCATTTATTTTTTTTTGTACCAAATTGCAACTTACAATCGGAATTAATTCATTTGCGACTGTGCGACTTCCTATTTTTTCAATCTTGTCCTTGGGCATAATTTAGATGCTTTTGGCCAATACTATTGACGCCATATTCATAATTAACTTAAGTTTCGGAATTTTTGAGAAATTTTTTATTCAAAATTGACATGAACGAAGTGATGTTGCCGATTTGTCACCTCAGCAATAAATCGGTGAGTCGCCAATTTGTTGCCATTGACGATTGTTGCCTATTTCTCATGTTTTGCATGGTGGGATCATTCCCCAACTCACCTCTAACCGACGCGCAGATACGTAATAAGTGTTAGGGAAACGAATTTTTAATTACCAAGTGAAAAACTAAAGCTAAATGAAGAGGAAAATTACCAACAAAAAGTAAATAATCTTCAGAGTATCCTCAAATAATCTGGAAAGAAAATAGAACGCGCAGTGAATCAAGTGGCAAAATTACTGTCGGACTGTATCCTGAAGTGAATTATTGTAATACGATTTTGCTTAACTACATAATACAAAAGGAGTAATAAAATGAAAAATTAATCAGGGCTATCACGAAATCCATCGTAGAAAATGTACGAATACGAATGCCTGCTACGAATACAAAAAAATTGCTATCACTGAATCCGAGTGAACTCGAAAATATCATTGCCAGCTTCGAATGCTGATTCGAAATCAGTTAGTGCATAGGAAACAACAGACATTTATGTATGTCATTTTGCTCACGCTGGCAATCAGGCGCAATGGCCGAGTGTGCAAAGCACTAGACAGCCAATTGAGAGAACCGAGTCCGAGTCCGAGTCGTGGGGTAGTGGAGATTTTTTTCTTTTTTTATTTAATTTTTGTTTATTTTTTTAATAAATATTTTTTTTTAGTTTATTTTTAGCTTAGATTTTATTATTTGAAATAGAATTTTTTTTTTTAAATAAATTTTTATGATATTAAAGTAATTCGGTTTATTTCCTAATAAATTGTTGCTAAACTATTATTTCCTCGATTCATGCAAAATATTAATTCATTAAATACTAGACGCACGCAGATGAGTGCGTGCATGTACATATGTATGTATGTATAGCATTGGTATTTTACGTCCACATTTACACAAATATATGGAATTATATCAAACTACATATAACAAATTTAGAGTATAATAAATATTTAATATTAAAAATAATGCAGCTTTCTTCCACTATTTTTAAGATTGAGTGATTTTAAATTTTGTTCCGGCAGCATAATCTCATCGTAGAGTATCTGTACGAATCTTCATTACGAACGGATTCAATGAAGGCTCTCTACGAATTTCGGATTCTATTCGGATTCTGTGATAGCGCCTCCGTAGATTTCACGAAAATCGAAGCTACGATGGATTCTGTGATAGCCCTGAATATTTAAATTCATCTATGTATGTCGTTTCAATCAAAAAGGTATAAGGTATTTTACTATTTCAATTTCAGTATTTCAATGATGTGTATGAGACCAATTGGAGAATTACATTGGAAACAGTCCCTTTTTCATACAAAGAAAAATGCCCTTTTTGTTGAGAACGCTATGATCCTCCACTTGAGGTACTGTTGAGAAAGAACGTTGGAGATTTGAGAAATTAGGTCGAAAACGTTTTAGCAACGAAAACATGATTTCGAAGTCGGTCAGAACATGGTATTACCTGCGTACTAGCATTTTCAACGCGACTAGAATTCAACAAGGTGGGTTTACAACCATGAACCAAAAATACAAGATCACGTAAGAACGCGACGTTGTATTTGTAACTGGTTTTGAGAAAAAAGTTTGCGAAAGCGGGTTCGTCAGCTGGGCGTTTGTTTATATCACAAGCACCACTATTTTACACTTTTATTCAAGTAAAGAAGAGTTAATTCAACATGACAACACATTTTAAAGCATTTTGTTGCATCATTTTACCTAAATTGTGCGTTTAAAGTGGCTGACAATAATTTTGGCTAATTTTGGTTTTCGTTGTTTTCTTTGCTTTGTTTACTTTTCGCTCGTTTTCCAGTGAAACAAGATGGCGTAGAACCCGCTAAAAAAATCTACTTTTTTCACTCTCTTGTTCTTACGTGATCTTGTGTCTTTCGTTCATGGTTTACAACTTCAGCTTTTTATCAATCATGGTTGTATTTTAGTGCATTTAAATTTGTATATTCATGTAAATTCGGCATCTTCATAAGACACCGCAGCTTATAATATTTCAAATTACTTCAGGTTTTAACTATCTCGGAGTAATATTAGTTCTAAAAAAGCATTAAAACAGGCACTAGGTATTAAGTAATTTTTTTCGGCGTTTTAATCTTCAAACAGCACTAAATCTAGTGCTTAAAGCACCAAGTTGGCAATTGTGGGCACCGGCACTTCGATAGTGCAAAAAAATAAAACCATTCGATACTATCGATAGTTTTACAGCTGTAAATCCTATCGCAAAGTAATGGATATGATTACTTGTTTACAATTCACTTAATTTGTTTTTGTTTGCGGGCCGCGGTGTTAAAATTTTTATTATTTTTATAGTTGAATTAGGGAATAATAATGTCCGACGACGATACCATTCATCCCTTAAGCGATTCTGAACATATTACAGATTTTGACGACCACGTAGATGAGGAAGAGTTAATAACTGCACAAAAGGTAATACGTAACGTGCGCATAATAAAATCTTGAACTTCTGACCCTTGCTTTCCCTCATAGGTACTAGAAATTGTAGAAACCGCATGGCAAAATGAATTATGTGCACCAGAAATTCTTCAACACCAAACCGACATGATGGAGCTGATGCTCGGTCAAGTCGCACACATGGAGGAAAATATGAAGGATTTAGATAAAAACGATTTTCGTTTCATTGTGCATCAAATGGAATTAGAACGCATACGCTATGTGATGGCCAGTTACCTACGTTGTCGATTGCAAAAGATAGAAACTTACACGCGACATATAATAAATGAGGAAGAGGCGCGAGATGTGTCTGAAAAAAGATTATCGCCGGAAGAGGCCAAATACGCGCAAGAGTATGCCGAAAATGTGGAGCAATACTTCCAGCAAGTGGCGTTGCAGTACATGCCCAATATGCAGCGTTCAGAGGCGGATCAACGAATAGTTCGTCCAAACCTAATGAGTCATGTTTTCATCAAAGCGAATGTGGCGGGTAAGAGCAATAAGTGAGCTTCAAATTATTATTGAAAATATCGTCCTTTTCATACATTCCTAGTGCCTGCTGTTGTGGTTGGCGTCGATGACGAGGAGGTGGATCTAACTGCTGGCTCGCAGCACATAATACCCTACCAACTGGTATCCGATTTAATTCATAAAAATCAAGCGCAGCTAATTTAGAAGTAGTGTCTACCTGTAATAGATAGCATAAGTACAAGTATAGATGATTTAAATTAAGCTTATTTTATTCCGTATTCAAACGAGCTAAATTGCACTAATCCATTGTCAATGGCTTCAAAGGTTCAGTATCACTTCTGGCACCATTTCCGGCAGCATTTTGGGCAAGTGTGCTAAACATAACACGCTTACGTGTTTGTGGCAATGGTACTGCTGTTCTAGGCGTAGCATGCACTTCTACAGTCGTTGGTTGTTGATCGCTTAAGATGGTATTGTCGAATCTCGGTTGCCGCATTGGTGATGCCAGTATGCGTTCCAAGCGTTGCTTAAATACATTGCTTTCACACAACCTTTGTGGTGTTTGTATTGGTGTAGAAGTGACCTCCAGGTCTTCAAACCCTTCAACATCCGAGGGAAGTTGTACGTCTTCGTGTCCACGACGCTGAACAACGTATGTTTCTTTTGGCTTAATTGGTTTGGCGTGCTTAAGCATATCTTCGACAGGGGCAGGTAGTTTTGTAGAGCAAAGCTTGTCGACAAGTTTTTTGATTTTGTTGCGCGTTGCATAGAAATTTGGATATTTCTGCGGTTCCGAAAATATATTTTAAAAATTAGTTATTAATAACACATGATTAATCCATTGCATACCTGCTTCAACTTGTGCCGTTTGTGTGAAAGCTCAGCACTCAGGCGTTTCATTGCTGCTGTGGATATGCCATTTGTCTTTGGTTCCAGGCCGCTTGCAATCAAGCGTTTATTCGCCAAATGCTGCGCATCGTTACGGGTGCAGGGTTTTGGTTTTTGCGGTACTCTATAAAAGAAAACACATTTTATTAAAATTCAATGTATCACATTCATAATTGCAAACGTAATTACTTGGTTTTTATTCTTTGTTTGACTCTTGCCGCCTCTGCAGGAGTTGGTTCTACCTCTGATTTGCTGCTACTGCCATCACTTTCGCTTTCGGTGCTTAAGGTCTGTGTTATGTCCGTGCTGTCATTTCCGGTTGCAGCGGTTCCAGATTCTATAAAAATTTTGGAATAGTAAAATTTCGCAAATATATCTCCATGTATATAAAATATAAAACCAACGATTTTCAAATATTAAGTTTTAAATAAACTGTTAGTAAAATAATAATCCCGATTTGTGTTATTATTCTATATAAAGTCTAGAAAATTTTATTACATATTTCGCTAGCTTAGAGTGAAAAGTTGCTATATCCACTTTTCTAAGGAAAGTTATTTTCGTGCAAAAAGCAAAAGCAAGTGAAAATGCATCGTTTTCGAAAAGACCGAACTTACATATTTTATTTGTTACCATTTCTATTCAGTGAAATGTAATTTACAGAATAGTTACAGAAAATGTGACAAGTCCCAAGGAATACAAAAACGTTTCATTAACAAGTGCTTGAAGAAAATGAGATTGAAAGGTTTTCATTCTATCTCGGAAGTTTGAAAAACAGGACTTAGCGACTTTTTGCTTTAAGCTAGTGATTTGCTTTTTGTGAATTAACAAAGGACGATTTAAGGCCGTTAAATGTTACATTCTTTTAGGCGCACCATTCGAAAAAAATTTTTTAAACTAGAAATTTTTCGGTTTCAAATTCAATGACGCTTTTTTTTAGTTCAGACTTTTCTCTGAAATGGTCAATAAGCTCATATCTTTGCTTGGCGTGCAATACCGCATATACGCGAAATGCAATACAGCGTATATGATAGTCTGAAAATTTCACAAAAGTGCAAATAAACTTATTTTCTTCTAAACTTTGAATGTTTTTCTAACTGAGCTAATATAAGCTTCTATTGCAATTATTGACCAGTGAATTTGTGAAGTAGGCCAACACTGAGACAGGATACCGAAAATAATTATTTTTCTCAGCCACCACAAAAGTGTTATTGCATTTTGCGTTTACGCGGTATTGCACGCCAAGCGACGCAGTATATTGTATCGTGTACCTTTCCTCCTCACTGCAACGTCATGAAGCTTCTCCGCTTTGACAAATGTTCTGTTACTTTCAGTGCTCTGCGAATATAACTCCTCTCCTTGCGTATTCTTTTTATTCGACGCAGACGATTCTACACTTTTAATTTTGCGAACACGCGGCTTTGGTTTCACAGCAGTTGAATCTTGTCTGTCCTCATTACCGTTAATGACATATGTCTCATCAGCGTCTCGTTGCGTTTTTTGAATCGCAATAGGCTCTGCCAACAAGGTTGAACTGCGTTTAATGCGAGGCATGCGCTTTGCCGGTTCAGGTCTCGGTCCGGCGCTTACGCTAGAATCGCTCTCCGTACGATTAAATGTAGTGTAGGTAATGTCCCGCGTAGAATCCTTTAAAGCTGAAGCTTTTTTTACACTAGTTACTATATCGACGGCTTCTACAGGCGTGACAAGCTCTGCAGCATTGCGCTTCTTTATCTCACGTTCAAGCTCTTCCAGTTTCTCCTTATAGTTCACTTCCATATTGTGCACGAATTCCTCAAGTTTTTCGGCGCTTTTTTGACCGATTTCAACAACTTTCTCAGTTAATAGTCGCTCAAGATCTTCCACCGAGGGTGAGCCGCGTCTTTGCAGTGCCGCTGCTACTGCATCAACGCTGTCATCTGCTGCCCTCCGCTCTGATCTATCATCACCTCGTGGTTCGACACTCGTGATGCCAGTGACTGGCACAGAAAACGCCGTTGTTGTTGTTGTTTTCGCTTCCTCCAATGTATGCACAATTTCTCCAAGTTTCCGATTTATCTCCGCTATGGACTCCTCATTATTGGCCTGCTGCGATTCGCGCCACGCCTCGAATTCTTGTATTTTGGCCTGCAGCTTACCAAGTTGTGCTCTGCGTTCCCTCACCTCGCTGCTATCAGTGCTCACGCTGTTCAAGGTGGCATCGGCACCATCATCCTGCTCCTTTGTCTCGAGCAATTCGCTTTGAATAGCGACGCTCTTCATCGATTTTGGCGGTTCGCGTGGCGTGGCGCGTCTGCTATGCGACGGCGCCGCCCCGCTGCGTTCGCGTATGTCGCGTTCTGCGTTGTTAAGGCGCTCCTTTAACTGCTTTATCTCCAGCTCCAACTTGACGGCGTTGATCAACTGTAAATCGTTATGCTCGCGCTCCCTTGTGGCAGCGCTGGCCGGCGTTTCGGTGCGACGATCAGCCGCGGCGTTGCCACTAGCGGCAACGGTAGCCCCTATATTTGGCGCATTGACTGCCACGCGCGCTGCATGCCGCCGGCTAATGTGTATATTTAGCGCCTCATTACTGATGAAGCTCTTCGTGCACAGATGGCATGGATATACCACCTCGTGTATGGCCTCGATTTGTGTGATCTTCTTGTGCAGCTGTAGAATCTCATTATTCGCCTCGGCTAGCGATTTACGCAATTTGGCGACATCCATTTGCGAGTTGGCGTGTGCTTCGCGCAGCTCGCGTATAGTTTCATCGAGGAATTTACGACAGAACAACAGATACTGTATGGCGAACTGCGAGACTACGAAATACTTGGCGATGCCGCTGTCCAAAATGTTGGTGTCCAACATTGCGGCCAATGGTGCTTCGGAGAGGTGGCTCAATAATCCGTCCACCTGATCGATTCGTTGATCCTGCAGAAGGCGATCTATTTCAATCGAGCCTATGACGAGAAACATTGGTTGGTTAAAAAGGATAGTACATTTAGTTCTTGATAATGTGTGAGTGTGTGTAGTTTACCTAAGATGTGCCAGTCGATGGGTCCATCTTTGTATTGGCGCAGTTTGAAACCTGCTTCGCGCGCTACTTTAGGGTAATTGTAATTAAAACTAATAGCCATTATAAAAAGCTAACATATCTTACTTTTGGACACATATGTAAACAAATGAAAATATTAAGTTCTTCCTGAAAATATGGATTTATTTTTGTTTGCCCACACAGTTAATAGTGGTCGCCAAGCAACGAATTTGAAAGACTCAGCGAAAAGTTTTTAGGGGGATGAAATGAACATTCAGGGTAGGCGGTCGGAAAGCAGCTCTTTCCCGCTCGAAACATTGACAAAAAGTCAGTATCACATCGTCGCAGAACGAAATGATTAGCTTAACGCTTGAACACTTTTGGGAAATGATGCAAACGAAATTGATAAAGGTTTTGCGAGAAAAATCATTCTTTCTGACGAAGCGCATTTTCACTGCTCCATTAACTTCATCGTTGTCGCGAAAATATGCGGAAGAGAGATACAAGGTTCTCGAAATCGATTCCCCAGTTCCAACGTACTAACGATTCAACAAACGGGCGACAACGGTGGCCAGGAGGCGGATGTTCTCTATCTTGCTGGCGCCAGTAGCGAAAATTATGCAGATACCCTTTGCGCCGAATCGTTTCCAACACAGTCGGGTATACAAGAACAAACTAAATTTATTTCAGGCCAAACTTTTTTGGGAATAACATACTGTTACATGTTATCTTATCTTACAAATAATATTTTACATTATTTTATTTTTTAATTTATTTCATTTTATTTTTTTATTCTACTTATATTTTATATATTTTTTAAACCTCTTTTTTTTGACAGGTAATGCAATATTTACTCTATCATATAAATTTACTAAGACTGCAATCTTCAAACAGGTGGCAACTCTCTTAGTTTTTTTCTTTCTATATTTTAAGCTAGACCTTTAGCAATACATCAGTGAAAACTGAATTCAATTTCATGCATCACTTTTTGAGTGATGCACGTACAAACACACAGACAGACAGAAAAAATTCTAAAAATTGTTGATTTGGCTTTTATTGCTCTAATAAAGAACCCCATATTAACTTTTCCTTAACATCTATAATGTACAGATATCAGCTTGTTACAATTTTATTATACATATGTATGTATAGATAGATATTATGCATATGTTTTATTTATTTTATATTTTTTATATGTTATATGTTTTGTATTTAATATTTCAAATTTTATATTTCATACATATTTTTTATAGTATATTTTATATTTTAGATTTAATTTTTTTATATTTTATATTTTATATTTTGTATTTTATATTTTATATTTTATATTTTATATTTTATATTTTATATTT